CCCCCCCCCCCGCCATATCGGCTGCCTCCCGCTCTGCACTATCGCTATTTCCTCTCCCTTCTTCACCATTCCCAGCTTCTGTTTCATCAATACACAACGTATTACTAACAACCACATCATGAAAAATCATGGACTAAAATTCAATCATATATGTATTACTCTTGTTTATGTTACTATATCAAGAGAGAAAAACGATGCGTAATGCATCGATCCATATGGTTTTGACTCACCGACGGGTTGAATTAGAAGTATCAATGAATTATAAAAAATAATTTACGGGACGAGAATTTTACCACCAATGCATCCAAAGCTTTTGCAAAGGTTTCTTCGGCATCATCTGTAAACTGCATGTATATGGGGCATACTCCCTGATACAGTGCTAGTCTTTGTTGAATCCTCTTCCTACACATTCAATTAAAAAAAAAAATTGTGCAATCAGTGTAACTAATGATTTGTATAGGTAACATTAACATTGCATACTTAACAATAAACTCATGGTTCACCCTAGCATCCGACTTGAGATGTGGATATATTCACTTATGGTTTCATCCTCGACCACGAATGAAATCCTTTGAACCAATTACATGACTGAGTCAAAACGTAAAAGCCCACCGCTATATTCTATAGTAATTTCAGACAAAAACTATGGGATGCAGAGAGAAGATTCTTGTCTGAAGGGAAATACGGAAACTCACTCATTTGTGAAGGCGAAAATCGTGCCAGAAGGACGATAGTGGCTCAATAAAATGGCCATGAAACCAGTTCTTGTAAAGACAACAGTTGAAGTTCCAAGAGTGTTTGACATCATGGTAGCATGATATGCAAACATCTCACTGGTATGGTTCTGCCAGAGAACAACAAGCAGGCATGTTTCCAGTTACTAACAAAGATATTATCCAAAGAGCAACATGAAAAGCGAAAACAGGTTTGCAAGCTTTACCTTGAAGGCTTGCCCAAGATTAGGCGGCATTTCACCACCAGCAATGGTTGCTTCTGTACGTAGAGCCACTGTGTGCATCACTCTCACGGCTTTCAATGGGAACCTGTAAAGGGAAGTGAAATTTCTTAAGATAAGCCATCGAGTAAAACCAAGAATTAGCTAATTTGTTCAATGATAAGAGAATGGTTGCCACTTACTTCCCATGAGCAGTTTCTCCAGAAAGCATCACTGCATCAGCACCTTCTCTAACAGCAATTGCAATGTCCGAGACCTCTGCCCGTGTTGGAGTTGGATGAACGATCATACTCTCGAGCATGTTGGTTGCAACAATTACAGCTTTTCCCATGCTACGACATAGCGTAATAATCTCCTCCTGTAAATACAAAGCCAATTAATCTATTGGGTACCAGAAAATTGCAAATTCACAAGTTCTTAAGCTCTGAAAAAACTGGTGCAAAGCAAGATATACCTGAAGAATTGGGACCTCTTCGATAGGAAGCTCCGCACCAAGATCACCTCTGGCAACCATTGCCTGAAAACCAGAAGCAATTATTAATTGAAGTCTCAAACGCAGATATCATACTGTAAGCTACAAAAGCACAGGAAACAAATAAAACATTGAAAGTAGAAATAGATGGAAAAGATCACCCCATCTGATGCTGTGATAATTGAATTCAAATTAGGTATCGAATCTGCGCTTTCAATTTTTACGATCACATGTATATCAGCGCCACAGCCTGCCAATTATTTGGAAGAAAAAATATCATTACAAAAGGAACCAGAACGAGAATGAACAAACTATGTCTAACTCATTCATTTGGGAGATCATCTTCTCCATATACTTACTTTGAAGGTAATTCTTCAATTCATGTACAACTTGAGCATCTTTGACAAAGGAAACAGCATAGAAGTCCACTTTGTTATCCACTCCAAATTTGATGTCCTCCCAATCCTTCTCTGCAGGAAGGAAAGGGTTATGACCATTATAAGTCGGAGAACAAGATCATTGTATTACAACCTAAGAGGCCCAACACTTCTCAAGAACATTTCTCATGGAGTGAAAGAAAAACAAAAAAAACTGGAGCATGAAACCAAAAGTCTGACCAGTGATCGAAGGCAATGTTGCACTTTTCCCTCTGACATTGAGGTGCCTCCTTGACTTAAGTTCACCTCCATCAACAACTTCACATTTGACTGAATCCTTAGTCTTAGACTTCACAACCAATGACATCATACCACCTACAGCATAGGACAAGAGCTATCAGTATGTAGTGATTTTATCATCAAGGGTTATTTATATCCTGGACCAAATATATCTTGCTGTGTATCATATAAAACTAAAATGGATTGATCCATTTGTCTTGGACAGAAACCTCTTGTGAAAGCACAAAGAAAATATTGCTAAACCATTTTTCACCAATCAATCACGCTTACATACCATCAACGAGTAGCATATCACCCATTTCCACGTCATTGACAAAATCATCATAGTTAACACTGACACAATTTGCCGTGCTGACTCCTCTCTGAATCGTAAAAGTGAATTCTTGACCCGCGTCCAACATAATAGGCTGCGGCAAATCTCCACTTCTAACCTCTGGGCCCTAGTACAAATGAAACTGATCATCAAAGAAGGGTACTTTGGCTTGAAAGAATGAACGGTAAGTAGAGAAAAAGTAGAGAATTGGAATGAATGTGAAATAAAACACACCTTGGTGTCAAGCATGATAGCAATGGTGTTGTCTTTAGACTGTGCATTGTACTCTTTAACCAAATCGATAACCTTCTGATGCGAAGCATGGTCCCCATGAGACATGTTCAACCGAGCTACATTCATCCCAGCTTCAGCTAGCTTCCATATCATTTCCCTTGTGTTGGTAGAAGGACCGATGGTGCAAACGATCTTCGTCTTCCTCCGCACCGTCGGCTTGGACCACATCCCTACCGAAGTGTCACCGAATTGCTGCATTTCCAACAACCTCTCCAGTTGCTCCTCTCTCTAATCATCATTTAAGAGGAAAAGGAAAGAGCTTCACTTTCAATATCACAGTCAAAGCACGACTCTTGCATACAATACAACATTACCAATTTTCTTGGAGCTGAGCAATATTCCTACCCAGTGGGAAAATTCGGCACTTTGATCACTTTTCAACTTCGGAATAATTAATACTACAATATGCAAATGTATTTGTCTGACTTATTTCAGAAAGTGAATAAATTTCATCAACCATAATCAGATGACTCTGTATAGAGGAAATTCAGACAAAGACAACACCACAAACATCACGATTCATACTGAAACAGCACATGAGAACTTCTGATTCATGTCAAAATCAGACACTAAGTCAGATTTGGACAGTTTCTCAACATTTTGCAGCCAAGTATAACTATAATCACGTAATGATATTCAAACTTTCCAAAGGAACAAACGGAAGCCAAAATAAAAAAGCATCAGAAAGCAAGAAGACAACGAAAAAAAAAACCTGCGGGACATCCTCCGGGGACACCGGAATAACATCAGCCTCGACACGAGCGGATCTCACAACAGCATTCACTTTTCTGTTCCGCACAGCGGCTCTTCCTCTCCCCTTCTCTTCTCTCTCCAGAACCTTCCACGAAAAGCCCGCAGGTTTCAGAAGCTTATCCGGTCTGTCAGACACAGATCCACAGTTAGAACGCAACAGCGAGCCCTGAATCGACCTGGTAGCCACCACCTGAGCCATTTCCGCTTCCGCCGACAAGGATCAACGAAATCGACAAGTGAAGCGTGTCGGATAGAGAGACGAGAAGTGTTCCCGCGCGGTAATGCAGTAGCTGAAGCGCAGAGAAGGGAGCTCGAAGGAAGAAGGCTCGGCGGAAGAAACGAGGAAGACGAAGGAAACGAAGTCAGAACAGAAGAGGAAAGGGAGCTTTAGCTTAGTTCGTATCGAAGGACGACAAATCAGTTTTCTGCGCTTCTCGTCACTATTTATTTATTTTGATTCGAAAACAGAAAGGGAATTCGATTTCAAAACGACACCGTATATAAAGTCGAGTTCAGGCCCATTATTGGCCCGTTAAGCATCCACCGCTTAGGCCCAATGTGAGCCCATTACTTTAAAACGCACTCGTTGATATCTGTAAATGAAGGGGAAAAAAACAGATCTGCATAAATATGCATTACAGTCTGGTTAATAAAAACCTCAAAATTCATCTTGTTTGGCTCAAACAAATTCAACAAAATACAAAATTAAAAAATTGATTATACAATCTTTAAAAAAAAAAAATCACAGGGATTAGCATTTTATTGATAGAAGAACCCACAGCTTACATTAACATGAACCTTGCAAAGAGTTCAAAGATCCCTTCTTTTACTTTTCTTATTTGCAGAAATCTTCACTTCGTTGTTGATTGAATCTGCAGGAAAAAAATTGGGGTATGATAGTTTAATCTAATGGAAAATCCGTAATTAGTAAAAACAGTGGTATTATATTAATGTACGTCTTGATAAATTTATACGGGTACGGTTTTAGTATACTACCGTATTATTTGGTATTTTGAAAAACAAAGTACTTATCCCAAACCCGTCAAGTGGGAAGGTGGATATACCCGAAAATAGGTATTTTCGGATATTTTCTTCGCATTCCATTTGAATCGAACCGAAAATTTCGATGCCATTTTTGTTACAATATTTTTACAAAACCAAACCGATCCAAATATTAAAAAATCTGGAAAAAAAAAACAAAATTTTATTATTTTTTCTTAATAAAATTCAAAATCGAACCCAATTGAACCGAACTGGATATAATAAACATATAACCGAATAATTTGAAGGTACGAAATCCAAACCGAATCATTGAGACCAGTCATTGAGAAGTACCCAGATAATATCATCTAGGGTTTCTATATTTCTTGGTGGGCAGGCTACTTGCTATTTTAATTAGAAAGAACCCCGAAAATGACGAGTGTTTCCAAGCCGATACATGGATTATTACTGTTTTGTAGAACGGTAATTTCTTCTGTAATTAATTCCTAGCAAGTTAGAAAAAGTTTACCCTAAAGCGAATATAAACACGATTATGTAACCGGATGCAAACCGGAATCAACCAAGTAACTCAAAGCCTAATAGATGTGATTCATGAGTCCAAAATTACCATGTGAAATATCTGCCATTTCTGATAATAGATACTCCAAAAATGAAAAAAAAAATCCAAATTAGTCACTTCAATTACAAATATATACAAGTTTCCTTATCTATATCAAAGAAAGGTATCTCGAGAACATCCGACAAACATTCCTTTGTGAAGATCTTTTATCAATGCACTTTGAAAAGTTTTTAGCAATAAATACAGTTACGTACCAAAACATTAATAAATTTTCCTACAAATAGATACAAAAGAATATCAAATAAAACCCATGCATGGCGCGCTTTTATATATATATATAGATATATAGTCTATAGATATGGTCCTGAGTAGGCTCCTAGTCACTTTCTAGTTTCGGCTTTTGTCCCCAATACTTTAAACATCTTTCGTTTCTCACCCCGACACTTCCCGGGACCGCTGTCTTGTCCTCTTTTCTGCTTTGTCTCTCCCTTACGTTTTCTCCTTCGTCATATTATTATTATTTTCTTTTATAATATAAGGAAACAGACATTGTGTCACTGTGTTTTTTCATCGGAAAATTTTAAGTTGTTTTTGTCCCTAAGATTCCTTAATTTCACCACCACTTATACAACTCGTGGTCGTGAGCCTCTGAAAATTATATTTCCAATACGATAGAATAATTATAAAAAAAAAAGTCGAAACGATATTTTTTTGTGTGTTCTTATAATTTGTTTTCAGCTAAATCTGTAGAGATTCTCAGAAACCAACCGAGAACAGTACACGCTTGTACAGCTACAATTGGATATACGTATACATATAATAACCCCGACATGTTGTTACAAGTTAATTTAATGTTACCATCATCATCATGTTGGGGGCTTTTGCCTATATACCCAACACGATGCATGGCACGTAATATTTTCTCATATTCACGGTTCGGTATATGATATTTTTATTTTTGTCATGTTTTTTTTTAAAGAGAGTTGTTCACATATATATATGATGGTTATTCGGTCTGTGGTGGGTTAAAGCCGGTTTCATTTTATTTTAAACGATTTGGTCCGATCTTAGCGTTGGTTCACTGTTGTTTGGTTTTATTAGGGTTTCTTCTTCTTCTTCTTCCTCTCTCTCTCTCTCTCTCTCTCTCTCTATATATATATATATATATGATTGGCAAAGATATATAATAGATTGAGATGATTTGACTATTGGGATGAGATTGGTATATAACCATGCATAGTTTTCAAGATGGATGATTGCTAATTAATGGTGAATTTTGGTTCGAACCATTGTTATAGATTCACGTTTATACGTACGTACACATGTCACGGAGAGGAAAAGGAGGAGACCGTGAAACAATACGTTTCAATTGCGTATGGTGTTTATCATTTACTTTCTTGATGCAACAAATACATACATACATATATATATATATATATAATATGATGAGAGTAGTAGTAGGGGCTCACAAACCTCTCTGTGTTTCTTTCCCCCTTTCCCTTTCCGATTATTTAAATCTGTTGTCTCTTACCAAACAAACCACATAAATATTACTGTTTTATAATATACATATATATATATGGGTGTGCGTGTTCTGCATGTGTAACTGTGTGTGTGTATATATACACTGAAACATATGTTCCCAGCTCAAACCCTGTTTGCCTCGGACAGATTTCTCTGAACACAAAAACACAGAAAGGAAAGGAAAAAAAAAACAAGAAAGAAAATATCATTATCCGCCAAAAAAAAGGAAAAAGGAAAAAAATTCAAGAATCCGCCATGGAAGATCAAGAATCACAAGCCTGCAACCCTCTTCCCATAGAGAGCTTCTCGTACGGCTGGTTAGTCAACTTCCCTTCTTTAGAAAACATCGAGAACTCGACAAGAACGTCAGTAGACACGTACGACGATTCTTCCTCCTTCATCGAGATGGATCCGAGGTTGCCTCCTTCCAGAAGATTTTTTATCAGCCCTAAAGATCGAAGCTTCAAGTTCGATAGCTTCTCCAAATCCGAGTCCTTAGCTCACGCCGACGAGCTCTTCTACGACGGCTACGTCATGCCCCTCTTTGCAAACTCCGCCGAGGAATCTCAGCCGTTGGATTCATCGTCGGTGAGGCCAGAGAAGATGAGAGCCGTCGGATTGACGAAGAGCAAGTCGTCTTCGTGCTCTAGGAGGTTTCAGAGAGCTTCGAAGTGGGTTCTACTGAAGTACATAGATTTCTTGACGCCATTGTATAGAAGAATCCGAGGTAGCAAAGCTTCTAGATCAAGCGGAAGCAATGGAGCAAAGAGTGGTAATGAATCGAGGATTCGAGCTACGAGAAAGCAAGTTTATTCCCACGAGACAACGTCTTCTCCGAGGGTAAGCGTGGCTGATGACTGGAGAAGATCTTGTGACTCGGAGAGTTCCATCTACGAGGCTGTTCTTCATTGCAAGAAATCATTCGGTAGGCACATCTATTCCATATATATATATATATATATGTGTGTGTGTGTATGTGTGTATACGTTTCTGAAGGGTTTTTAGCTCTGTTTTAAGACTATTTTTCAGCAGTTTTATAATTTTCTTTTTGTTGTTCTTCTGGGTTTTGTTATTTTTTACAGGAAAATGAGAAGAATCCATGGTTGAAGGAGAGAAGCAAATTGCATATACACATGGGAATCAATCAAGAAGGGGAGAGAGAGAGAGAGAGAGAGAGCAACTTGTGATATGTCTTCTTGTTCTCTCCTTACATCTCTCTCTCTCTCTCTCTCTCTCTCTAATTTTATGAGATTGATGTGATAATGTGAATGTGTCATGTGAAATGGATCGAGAATATTTGTGCTTTTACATGATTAGACAAATTAGGTTGTTTTATTATGGGCTCAGCAAATCAGAAAATATATTTTTCATACATTTTATTTTGTTATTAATTTTTTCTATGTAATATAATATTATATATCCCAAATCATTTTTACCTATATTGCATGTTTGCTTTTAATCAGTCTAATCGGGTGCTTCACATTTTGGTTCCACTCTGCAAAATCAAATTTAACCAAATACCAAATAATCGGATCATATTTTAAAACTATATTAATTAAATGAATTAATGTAATTTAAATAAAAATTCAAAATAATTGAGAAATAGAAATTTTTTTAATAAAAATTGAACCGAACTAAAAACATTATAAAACATAAAATTTTACTAAAACACAACAATAGAATCCAAAAATTAATGAACCAAATTATTATTTGAATCCCATAATATGTAACCCTAATAAAATCCCATAGCTGAAATCCAAAAAATAAGAATATTTTGGATTACAAAATCTAAAAAGGCTCGTAATAATATCTCTGAGATGACTTCAATCTTCACTTACTCTCAAAAATTTCCAAGTCTTTGTAGATTTCGTAATCCAAATATTCTTTGTTTTTGTATAATTGTGTTTGTCATTTATAGCTTTGCTACATCTTTTCCTATCATTGGGTTTGGTTGTAAGACTTGACGTCATCCATGATCCATATATAATACAATGTATTTATTAATTATTTATGCATTTATCTTGATAATAACTATTAACTTCTGACCGAAAAAAACAAACCTTACAATTCACCAATTTATATAGTGACGGTTGGAGAAATTATATTGAATATATATAACATATAATATTTAAGTGTTATCCAAAATTCATCACAATAGAAAACATCAATTGAACTAGTTTCTCTTCACATTTTTTTATATATGAATATTTCCCTTGTAAGAATTGAAATACTTCTTTAAAATTTATTTGATTTTTGTTAACTATGATCCACCGTGCAAACATTCAAATTAGATAATAAATAAAAACAAATTAAAAGTCCAAAATCAAGCATGTAAACAATAATTTCAACTCTTTGTGATTAAAAAAAGATTTTATTACACAATACTGTTTTTATCATCTTTTTTATATTTCAGTTTCTTCCATCTAGCTGAATTAATTGATTTTTTTCAACAAATTATAGTAGTATATAATATGAAATTATCATATGCATATATATATATAGAGAGAGAGATTAATAATTAAATTTTACAAAGTATCAACCATAAAAAATTTACAAAGTAGACCTTAAAGTTATCAATATACTACGATATGGTAAATTTTGGTGTCTATGAAAAAAAATTATTTCATAGTGTACTCGATGTTTAATTAGAAATAATAAATGTTTGATGTTAGGAAATATTTATTTGATAAATTATTATTGGCGGTTAGAATCTTCCTATACTTTTTTTTCTACAAAAACAAAACAAAATTTTTATGCTATACATTTTGCAATTTTTATTTTTGTGACTTTGATAATGTCGAAACCATTCATTTACGTAATTCGCCAAATGTGTGATTAATTATCCAACATCAACCGAATACCATCTTATTATGATTATGAATTTTATTATGCATTCTTTTTTTTTTTTGTGGCTTTGGACAAGAGGGGGACAAGTCTATTGTTTCCCTTTAAAAATAAAATAAAATGCCTAAATTTGTAATAGACCCAAGTCCCCATTTAAAGTAATTTACTTTTCGGTTAAAGTAGTTTGCTTTAGTAAATTTTTTTTTGAGTAATGGGGGTGTCTTGGACCGATGACCAAACTAATTTCACGGTCATAAGTAAGTCGCCATAAATAAATCGTTTGATTAGAATTTGTACTCTTTTTTCCAACTTGAAGTTCGAATTCGGACATAACAAATGTTTTACGTACCTTTTATCCTTTGAACTATTCAAACTGGGTTGTGTTAGTAAAATTGCCCATTTCTATGCACGAACTCTACAATACATGATTTGCAGAGCTACACAATTCGCAATACATTTTAGTGTTAAGTTTGAAATTGAAATGGTATATACATATGCGGGTCTTTTAAAAAAAATATTATCAAAATCATTAAAAATATGAGAAAAATATATTATATGTATGTTTAAAATTATTACGGGCAAATGGTTTGTTCATCCAAAAAGACAGACAAAAAGAGTTAATTAGGCATCATCTTTCTTCATCATCATCATCATCTTGTTGAATTTCTTATTCCAAGAAGGTTGTTTCATTGGCTGCACATATAGGTGTAATAGCCCATTGGTAATACACTGCATCTAGATCCACATTTTATGTCCAAATTATGGTAATAATAAAAAGTTTTACTATTTCATTTGACTTGTAAAAGCAAGACAACTATGGTTTTGGAACACTATATATATATATAAGCCATGATCGAGACCGTATATATATATATATATATATATATGTGTGTGTGTGTGTCTGTAAAGTATAACTCTCGATATAATGGTAAATGAAATTATTCACTAGTTCCATTATAGTATTATTCACTCTAATGTTTAAAATTATATATGTATGTATATAAAACTCTAAGCATTATTGTGAATGATACTATATTTATTATTTACTATTCTTCTTTATTCACAATAAGTTTGAAATATCTATACAACATTTGTAATTTTCATGTGGTTATTTTAGAATTATATAAACAAGTAGAAATAATGGTGTTCCTAACATAAAATTATATATGCAGTATATATAGGTAAATGCATGTGATCCATATTTTTTACAGGAGAAGAAAACGTGAGATTCAAGAACTATATTGTACATATATAGATATTCTACATTTGGTTAGACTTGAGAGAAAAACAAAACAAAAAAAACTATAGATTTAAGTTTAACATTGTGAAAAGGGAATTAAATTTTGCAAGAAACAAACCCCCAATGGCTATTAACTATATATATATATATATATATATATATTCTATATTTGGTAAGAGAAAAACAAAGAAAACTATGTATTTAACATAGAGAAAAAGGAATTAAATTAGGCAAGAAACAAACGCCCATGGCTTTTAGCTGGCTTCAACGGTGACCCAAAGGGAGAGATATGAATTGGGCATATAACAAAAGAAGGCAAGTGATATTCACATGGCGTTGAGACAAGACAAGGAGACATTGACAAAGATATATGTTCTCATATATTCCAAAGACGTTGTTCCTATCTTCATTTTGTGTATCAAGATATAATTTTTTTTATAATATGTAATATCTAGATTTAATTTTGTTTCTATATTTATATTAATTAAATAAAATATTATATGACTATTTCTATCTATAAATATTGTACTACTTTATAAAGAATGAAAAATACAATGATCATCCACTTTTTTTTTTGTCTCTTATTATCTTCCATTTCTATACATAATTTCTCTTTTCTCTTATTCTTATTCTTCATTGTTTGTGCATCATCTTTCTTGGACCTCCTCTTCCTATTCTAAAAGAACAAAATCAGAAACCGATGTGTATCTGTTTATATTGTATTCTCTTTATTTTAATTTTATATGACGTTTTAGGATATTTTTTTATGTTTTAATAATTTTATATAACGTTTTAGGATAGTTTTTTGTTTTAAAATGAATTGTGCTTTTTAATTTCCTGAGCATTTTTTATTATATTTTTTCCAAATTACCCATATTTCATTATAGTTAATTAGAGAGAAACAATCAATAGTATTGAAAAAATAAACTAATTAAAATGGTTCCTCTCGTTAATATATCACCCTTCTCTATGGAATACGATATGTATCGGTTTTTATATATTTCACACATGACATAATCATACCAACAAAGATTTGTATTGAATATATGTACATGTATATATCACATGCACAATTAGTATATACATAATACATATATATCGAAATACGAACAAATACGATTCATCAATGCAAATCTTGCCTCACTGCATGATTTTCTAAATCAAATCAGAATGAACAAAAGATATAAAGATGGAAACATCACAAAATAAGCCCATGCATGCACAATGTGGTATTAGATAAACATTTGTAAAATCCAGACAAAATTTAGCATCTTTTACACTACGAATATTGAATATTGATACATTTAATTAATGATTATTTTTTGTTTATGCAATAGTTTTTTTACGATGGCAAATTTTGTTTGTTTATTAAAAAAAACAGGGTTTCTGTCTCTTCTCTATTAATATATGGTTTTTAACTTCTTCAGAATTACTTTAATTGATAATAGAAAATTGTGTTTTTCCTTTAATTTTACCTATTTTGATTTTACTGAAAATCAAAGAAGCTAATAGATATTTATAAATTTAAAAAATCAATCGAATTCAAATTATCGTCATCGTTACGCTGAGTCGTATATTGTTCGAGTGATTACGTTTATTCATTTTTTAATTTTTTTTGGTTACGTAGAATAGATGAATTCAATTAATATTTTTTTTTTTGTTGAAATATGCAGACAACAGTCATAGGCATAGAGAACAACTCGAGGACCCAACAAGTGATAATTACGCCCAAAAAAATTCCGACAAGAAAACACTGATCTTTACTTCAAACTAGATTAGTGATGATTAATCACTATTTTAATTAATTAACTAATTAATTAATTAGCTATTTAAATCAATGGCTCGATTGAGAAGCAAATTTGGGGTTGCTTCCTCGTCAAGTAACTGGCTTTATTTAGGTTTTGTCCGAAATCATAAAAGCATTGATCACGATTCGAATAAGCCAAAGGGAGCGAATTGCCTAATTTATGCCTTTTTGTCGCCCAAAATTTACGTTAATTTCTCTCCGTTATCATTTTATTTTATGGTTTAATACTTTATATTATTTCTCATAGTTTTATAGATCAACGTGGATAATTCAGCTGAAAAATTATGTCATAATAATGTCCCCGGGAGGCGGGAACTTGTAAGACAAAATGTTAAATATTTCGAGTTTTGATTCAGTTTAGATTCTATATTTTTTTTGGGTTCGAATTTTTTGTTTAAATAATTTTATTCATTCGATTATTTTTATATTATTTATATTTGATTTTTTGAAAAAAAAAACATTCATAAAAGATTTCAGTTTTTGTTAAATTATTATTATTTTATTCTCTGTATTTACTTTAAATAAATTATCGTTTAAATTTTAAAAAAAATATACTATTTAATTAGGCTAACATTTGATTCCAATATAATTAAGTGTTATTCTTATAGATTCCGTTGGATTTTATATATGCAAATTTACCTATCCGCGATAATAAAAGAATTTGAGAAAATATTTTCGCCCCACCGTATAATAATTGGCAACTTAAAATTTTATTTTGCAGAATTGGTGCTTTATAAAAATGATTTAAATTTCAATAAGTTTCATCATGTAATTTCAACAAGTTCCGTGTAAAAACTTATTTTATTAACATAATTTAAATTTCATAAAAAAAATTCCATCATGTAATCTTTTTAGATTTTTTAGCTTAGAACTTAATAACTTAATATTTTACAAAAACAAAAAATAATGGAAATTTGGAATCTCGAAAATTCAAAGAATTCTAGAATTTGGATTTTTTGTTGGTTTGGGATCTGAGAGACGAATTCCCGATCCCTTCAACATTACTATTTAACTGAAAAAATATTTTAAAATTTACAAATTTATATATTTATGTGAAAATTTGTCAAAACTTAATGCATCAACGAACATTGGATTCGAAAGCCATGTAAATTACAATGGAGCAAGATTTTGGGCCCACAAAAGAATCCCATCAGTAGGCCCACAAATGGCCCATCAATGGCTTCGTTCATTTCAAATTACATTTCTTTATTTCCGTACACGAACACCGAAAAACGCAAACGAGAGAAGAGGAGGCTAAGGAACAGAGGGAGGCCAAACGACAGAGACGAGAAGCAATCTATAGACATAGAAGACAAACGTCGATACGTACACACGCGCATATATACGCATTTCGTCGCAAACCCCAGATGTAAGTGTTTCCCTGTAAAACCAGCTCGATTTTCTCTCTCTCTCGGAATATGGTTCCTTGATTCCCTGCTCTTCAACAATTCTGATGCGTGTTCGCATTATAGATTGTAGATTTCATTTTCACTTTCCGGGTTTGTGTTGATACTCTCTAATCTTTTTTCTGGGATTCCTACTTTTATTGCATTGGTGTGATGGTTGATTCGTTTGTTTTTGGGCCACTCAGGTCATGAAACTACTCTATTTCAAATGTCTAATGTGATTTTGGGGCCAAGTTGAGAGCGGGTTTGTCCAGGAAAAAGTTATTTTTAGGACAAAGATCGATCCTTTTCTGCGGATTTGATTTGATGTCTGCTCTTTTGGGGGTTCAGTTTAGTAATTGATGGATAATATGCCATTGAAATCAGGATGGTTATAGTCGAATGTATCGGATATTCTGGTCCGTTATGTGTTACCGGCAATGGATATGGTTTGAAGGGGAATATCGATTTTCTACGTTGATTTTTCAAAATGACTACTTGTTCGTGAAGCTATGATTGACAGTGTATATGTGATCTTGTTTCTGTTATATTGTGGTGCATGTAGATGCGTTGCTAGCACTGTTGATTTACCTACTTAAGTAATTTTGAGTTTCCCTTTCATGGAATTGTTTGCTAATGTGATATTCACTACAAGTCGATGATTAAATCATCGTAGAGATTCATGGGGATCGAGCCTGAAAGACACTGGTCCAACTTTAGAAAGGAAATCAATAGAGTTAGTTCAGTTCTTGAAGATTTCGGAGATCATTTATAATGTTGACCGCGCGAGCTTCTTTAAAGCCGCGTGGCTCTGGAAGAGACGTGCATTTTATGTTCCTGAGTTGTATTGTGTGTGTTTTTCCTTGAAAGGATTCTGAATTTGCCAGGCATGGAATGAATGGACCTCCTGCACTTGCTTGTTGGCAGATGATCGTGCATGGAATATATGCATATGAAGAAGTGAAACTAAAGAACCTTTCTTGTTGGCTTCTCAGGAAACATCTGTCAATGTGATTTTTGATAGGAACAAGGTTTTCTCAGAAAATATGATTCAGCTGAATCAAGAATCTGGCTCACCTCCTCCTGTGAAGCGAAAACGGGGCCGCCCTCGCAAAGATGAAGCCCTAACCAGACAAGAGAGCACACCCATCACTCCTAAACCTAACACTGTGAGTCCGGACGACATCACGGGTCGGTTGGTTTCCGGGGTAGTTGAAGGTTCTTTCGATGCAGGGTATTTCCTCAACGTCAAGGTTTCTGACTCTGATAAGCAACTGAGAGGCATTGTCTTTATACCGGAGAAAGTCACTCCAATTACTGCAGCGAATGATGTAGCTCCTCATGTGAAGATGTGTGAAAGAGAAGAGATCCTTGTCCCTGCTTCAAACCTGCAAGCATGGCCTCAGAATCAACAAAACCCTCAGAAGCAAACTGACGTCATTCCCGAGCTTCAGACAGATGTTTTGATCACCGATACGAATCAATCTGCCCCTTTTACGAAATCTTTCCCTGCAATGCAAGATGCAGCAATCGGTTCAGAGCTTCAGTTTTCTGCAACAGCTGCTAAGAACAGTTCTGCATGTGATATGAAGGTAAACGACATTGATAATGGCGCTTCTTCGCTAGAGAGAAACCCTCCACAGGAGATTGCACGCTCTACACCGGAAAACCAAGCTCTACCTCTAATGCCGCAGTCAGGCAATGATGGTTTCTCTGAACAGTGCAATACAGTTCCAGCAAGTATGGATACAATGCCACCCGAAGATTCAGGAGGTATTCCTTTTGTCGATTTCTTCCCCACTCCTGAAATAACTCGACCTCTGAACCTGAACCTTGAGATATTTCGTAGAGAGGCAGAGCTATCATGGAACAAACAGCATAAATCCCCTTCACATGCTGAACCTTCGGGCTTCAACCTTATGGCGGATAAACTGTCTTCCACCGCTGATTACGTGCCAGAGGAGCTTCAGCTGGAGCTCGGGAACAAGACCACGAGCCGTGTTAACCTTCCTCAACTGAATGGAGGGTTTCGAAATGGCATTCCCAGTGAAACCATCGAGACAAATCCTCAACGTGCTTCGTCAATGAGCGGCTTTCTTGCGGGATTGTTTGAAGGAGAAGATGCAGCAGAAAGCGTGTTACGTAGGTAGCAGAATAGGCAGACTACTCTTTTTCTTTAACGTCAATGTTCTGTCTTTTTGGTCATGGCGCTGATTTTGGAACCTTTAACGCTTTAGCTTTTTAATCGTCTTTCAAACTCTTGGTTCTTATTTGTGCAGTGTGTTAACTGGGCATTTCTTCCATTTAATTCCTTGTAAAAAAATTCGCAAACTTGTACAAAAATCCCACGTATAGCTTTAAAATTTCAAAAAAAAAATGTAATTTTTTTCCAATTTCAACTTTTTAAAAACAATAAAATAATGTTGTAAAATTTAACTTAAAATTTAATTAATTTCCGAAATTAATAAAAGTTGGTGTATTTTTTTTAAAAAATTTAAAATTTTATGTACTTATTTGATTTTTTTTTTATAAATTAGTATATTAATATGTGGGGTTTTCTTAATTTTTTAACAACTTTCATTTCTTTAAGAAAAAAATCGAGAAATTGCACGGATATATGGGCTATATGGGCTTTAAACAAGGCCCAATACTTAAAAATGGGTTATATGGGCTTAGAAACATCAGTATTACTCTCATGTTTATACATATATTAAGTACAATTAATTAATTCATTGTGCTTGGAGTAATTATGATCCAATGTCGGGGGCATTAACGGATATGTTCACTGATTTTCGACCAATGAGGAGAGAGAGAGAGAGAGAGGACACGATTATGCTGAATATTATGATGTACACGTGGCATTTCGATCATGATATGATTATTGTTGGTCCAATGAATGGGCATTATTGGTATTGATTTTGATTGGAGAGAGGGTTTTGGGATGTGGGGTTTATTCGTTTTTTTATAAAAAAATATTTTAAATTTGTTTTTTATTATCAATTTTATGTTTAACTTTAATTAAATTATTTATCTAAAAAAATCATCTAACAAGTTTTAAAATACATTATAGTATAGTACAATATCATTTATCTAAATGTTATCTTTACTACTTTTACACCCATAGCAACGAGAATACTGAATTTGGAGAGTTTAATATCACCTTTTTTTTTTCCTTTTTAATAAAAAATAATCTATTTTATTCCTCTTGTATTATTTTCAGTGTAAATTAAATTTGGTTGGATATTATCAACAAGCTAGTCCTAAGCTTCCCAACGAATTGAATTATTTAAAATTTGGAATTTTGCTTGTGGACTTCAAGTCGAATTTTTAAGGAGAAAAAACCTTTTTGAAGAAAGATGAAAAAAATACTCATTTCTAGTACTAATAATAGAGAATTGGCATCATATCTTATCATGTTCCAACTTTGAATTACCAAACTATTATTCACCATAATCAAAACAATATTTTAAATCAATGATATTTTTGCATAATTTGAACATTATTAAGCCCTACCAAACAATTAATTTTTTTAAATAAAAAACAATAAAAAATTAAAAATAGCTGATCGGCCAAAAATGGGAGAGAGAGAAGTGTACGGAAAATAAAGGAACAAGAAAAAAAAAACCGAAATAGCCGGTTATCGGTCAAAACAATCCGAGGAAATTAAAAAAAAAAAGTTTTCCTTTCAAAAGATTAAAACTTGTGTGAAATTTTGGTTGGGGGTTTCTTCCTTTTTCCCGGCAAAGGGTTAGCGTCCACAAGAGTATCTCAAGCTTTGCTATAAACAGACGATCATCGCTCCCCACTCGTCAACCTGGTTTCTCTCCATCGTCAAACATTCTATTTATAAAAAAAAAAGATCCAATTTTTCTTTGTTTTTTTTTCTGGCGCGGAAAGTTTTTTTTTTTCGGGGAATGTTGCGTTATGTTCGTTGAATCCCGCCCTGATCGTGTTATTTGAATCCGGGTTTTGTTCTTCTGATTTCTGGATCTTTTGGGTTCGTTGAAAATGGAGCAAAAGAGTGTGCTTTTGTCGGCATTAGGGGTTGGAGTCGGGCTGGGAATCGGGTTGGCTTCGGGTCAGAGTTTGGGCAAATGGGCGAACGGGTCGGGCTCTATGGTGGATGGTCCGACCGTGGGACAGATTGAGCAGGAGTTGGTGAGACAGATTGTTGATGGGAGAGAGAGTAATGTCACCTTCGACGAGTTTCCGTATTTCCTAAGGTAACTGGACAAACTATATCTGTCTTTTTTCCTTGTGTTTCCTCTTCTTGTTTCTCCGGTTGATGGTATGATTCTGAGCTAAAACTGTTTGATTTTTAACCAAAAACAGTCACGGATTTTGAGATTAAGGATGTAGATAAGAGTGGGTTTTTCTAAGAATTTGATTTCTGCAGAAAGATTGAATATCCCTAGTGAATCATGGGAAAGTTTAAATTTTTAACTTTTAGGTACTTGATTTAGTATCTAGAAACGGAGCGGAGGTTATGGATCCTAGAATCTTTGGGTACTCGGGGGTTGAGAGAATGAGAAAGAGATGCTACTGCAAGAGTTGGGGTGCTTGGTCCCCCGGAAAATTTCTGTTTGGGGAGAAAAGGAAGGAAAATAGAGGAAATTGGTTAGGTAAGGTGCACAAGAAGCATGTGGGTGATTTTGGCAAAAAGGAGAAGGATTCTCTTCTTCATAGTTGCCACCTCTGATTCTAATATTTTGATTCATTACTTTCATCTTTTCTTCTTTCTTCTCCCACATTCCCTTTTTTTTATTTGCCTTGTTGTTCTTCTTGGATTCATATTTTGTCTCTTAATGAACCTGGAACTATCTCTATACAGAGCACATCCGTTTTGTAAACTTCTGAATTTTTGTTTAGTTTGTGGTGTTCATATGCAGATGTTGTTTGAACCTGTCTTTTGTCTTGCTGAATTCTATCTATGAAGCTTACTTTCAGACCAAATATGGCAATATCATGAAATACTCTCCGGACTAATGAAAGATCCGACAATGAGATTCTACCTTCAACACTCTGACAAGTGACATTAGGTCAAGATTATCTTTTCCCTTTTGGAGTTTAGAACTTGGACTGTAAGAATGAAGCTATCCAGAACAAATGGTGTATGAAAGATACAATCTTTACGTTAAAGCTTGTCCTGGTTCAGGCTTCTAACTTGTGATAAGAACCATATGTTTTTTGTGAAATTTGTTTGAAGATACTGCATATTTGAATTGAGCAGAGATTTTACTTCATATCCTCGGTTGTTTTTTTATGGCAGCGAGAGAACTCGGGGTCTATTGACAAATGCAGCATACGTTCATCTTAAGCAGTATGATATCTCGAAGCACACAAGGAATCTTGCTCCTGCAAGTAAAGCCATTCTTCTGTCAGGACCTGCTGGTAAGTTTCCACAATACTCTATCTCATGATCTTTGTTTTTCGAATCCGTTTTATGTTGTTATTCTCTTTCTCTGCAGAATTTTATCAGCAGATGCTTGCCAAAGCTCTTGCTCATTACTTCGAGTCGAAGCTCTTGCTGCTTGATATAACTGACTTCTCTGTCAAGGTAATCGATATACTTAGCTTCTATATTTCTCAGAAAAGAAGAGATTAATGATATTTGCTTACTAAAGAACAGCTAGTAAGCTTTCTCCGGTCTATTCTTTGTTACAGATACAGAGCAAATATGGGTGTACCAAGAAGGAACCTGTAAGTTCCTTTTAATTCTACTTTGTTTTTGTTTTTCCCTATGTACTCTTTCCATTCGGAGTGTGAGACTCTAATCTTGTCTTCCTTTTGTTAGTCTCTCAAGAGGTCTATCTCTGAGATGACGTTGGACAAAATGTCATCTTTCATGGGTTCCTTATCTGTGCTGACTCAACCGGAAGGAACTAGAGGTAGAAGAACGAAAGCCCGGCTTTTTATTTTAGTACTTCATATTATTTTTCCTTTGTTTAGTGCTAAAATAATATCATTCTTGTAAATATTTCAGGGTCACTGCGTAGGCACACTAGCGGTAATGATCTTATTTCAAGGTACCTTTGTTATATCTGATCTTTTGTTGTTTCAGACCCGTCTGATGGGTTTAACCACCAGTTTTGAGAGAGCTTTCTCTGCGTCACATCATCCTACTAGCCCCTTTCATGTAATGTGCAGGAGCTTTGAAAGTTCTAGTAAACCTCCAAAACACAAGAAAAACGCCTCCACTGCTTCTGATATCAGTAGCATATCTTCTCGTTCCGCAAATTCTGTTTCAGGTAGATTTCGATTCTTGAAGTTAAATTTCTTGCTATCAGGATTCTTGTATTGTAACCCTTTTTCTCTTCTCGCCTGTTGAAGAAATCTTCGAAAATATCGTTTATCGGATCTCTGCCTTTCTGCATATATAGCATCTCAACTTTCAGACTCTTGACCCCCTCATTCATTTTTTTATTTTTTTTGGCTTCTAGCTTCTAGAAAACACGCAACGAACTTGTGTTTCGATGAGAAACTTTTCATACAGTCACTTTACAAGGTAAAACCATTGACAAGTGGCTAGTTTTCTAAACTGTACCAATGCTTTATAACTTTCCAGACATTCTTAAACTGGGCTACCCTTTTCCCTTACAGGTCTTGGTTTCAGTTTCAGAAACCAATTCGATAATACTATACCTCAGGGACGTCGAGAAGCTTCTTCAGTCTGAAAGGTTCTACAAGTTGTTCCAGAGGCTTCTGACTAAGCTTTCTGGCCCTGTCTTGATACTTGGGTCAAGATTGTTGGAACCCGAAGATGATTGCCAGGAAGTTAACAAAGAAATTTCTGCTTTATTTCCGTACAACATCGAGATCAGACCACCTGAAGATGAATCTCAACTTATCAGCTGGAAAACTCGATTAGAAGAAGACATGAAGATGATACAGTCCAAGGACAACAAGAACCACATTGCTGAGGTTCTTGCAGCCAATGATCTCGAATGTGGGGATTTAGCTTTAATATGCCATGCAGATACGATAGTTTTAAGTAACCACATAGAGGAAATTGTGGTTTCTGCAATTTCTTATCATTTGATGCACAACAAGGAGCCCGAATACAGAAATGGGAAGCTGATCATATCCTCCAAGAGGTACTAAAACAGTAAAACACTTCAAACACATCATTTTATCACCACTTTTCTGGATTCTGGTTATTGAGATAAATGCCTTCGTAACCTGGAAAACAGCTTGTCCCATGGATTGAGTTTCTTCCAGGAAGGTTGTAGAGGCCTAGAGAACTCCTTGAAGCTGGATACAAACACCGATTCTAAGGTTCTTACAATTCTGATATTTTGCTTTTGAACCATTGAACTATAAAAAAAAAGGTAATGCGATGTGAATGGGGTTATTGCTTTCTCCTATCTGATTCAGGGGAAAGATGGTGAAGAGGCAATAGTTTTAAAGAGTGAGTCAAAATCTGAGACACTTGCTCCTGAAAACAGAACTGAGATGGAAAAGTCGCTTCCTTTTACCAAGAAGGACAGTGACAATCCCCTGCCTCCAAAAGTGCCAGTAAGTGGGAAAAAAGGACATTCTTAGACATTTCATACTGTCTGGATGAAACTTTGCTACCCATATTGATATAATGTATCGGAATACCCTTTTTATACGTGTAGGATGTTATTCCTGACAATGAGTTTGAGAAGCGTATAAGACCAGAGGTTATCCCAGCAAGTGAGATTGGTGTGACATTTGCAGATATTGGTGCCTTAGATGAAACTAAAGATTCGCTTCAAGAACTTGTCATGCTTCCTCTTCGTAGGCCCGATCTCTTCAAAGGTGGCCTTCTCAAGCCATGTGGAGGAATTCTCCTGTTCGGTCCACCCGGTACGGGAAAAACCATGTTGGCAAAAGCCATTGCAAATGAAGCTGGAGCTAGTTTCATCAATGTCTCCATGTCCACAATAACTTCGAAATGGTTTGGTGAAGATGAGAAGAACGTGAGAGCTTTGTTCAGTCTCGCAGCAAAAGTTTCTCCCACGATCATATTTGTGGATGAAGTGGATAGTATGCTGGGGCAAAGGACAAGGGTCGGTGAGCATGAAGCCATGAGGAAGATCAAGAACGAGTTCATGACACATTGGGACGGGCTTATGACAAAACCTGGTGAGCGTATCCTTGTTCTTGCTGCAACGAACAGGCCATTTGATCTTGATGAAGCAATCATTAGGAGGTTTGAGAGGAGGTAAGCATATAAGCATAAGTGACTATTGAAGTGGCTTGGTAGTCTTCGTCTCTGCTGAATTGGATTGTTCTGCTTTCGGTTTCGTTTTGTTTGAGCAGAATTATGGTGGGTCTTCCATCAATAGAGAGCAGGGAGAAAATCCTGAGAACCCTACTGTCGAAAGAGAAAACAGAGAATCTTGATTTCCAGGAGCTTGCACAGATGACAGAAGGCTACAGTGGAAGTGATCTTAAGGTTTGTCACACTTCCATCTCATTTCACAACTTGCCGAAGAACAGGATTTTCCCCCCTAAGCAAAATCTTCCGGAACTGATTACTGTCAACGTTTTTCAAACAGAACTTATGCATCACAGCTGCATATCGACCAGTTAGGGAGTTGATACAGCAGGAGAGATTGAAAGATCAGGTGAAACTCTCTCTCTCTCTCTCTCTCTAGGAGAACCAGGAACGGAGAGCTTTCCCCCCTTTTCCGC